TTTATTTACAAATATTATTTTTGGGTCTTGTATATTACTTGAAACCATAAGGAGAGTACATGATTATTAAAAAAAAAAAGATAAAATTTGCATTTTATGGATGATACAAATTTTTGGGGATTTCAAAATAATGTACTAACACATAAAAAGTAATAAGTTCAAAGCTGGAACATATATAAATATTGTAATTATTTTTTTTCCTAATGTAATTTTCAAGATATTAAAGATCATAATGCAAAAAAACTAAATTTATCAAAAGTAACAGGCTTTATGTTACTTAAACTACCTACATTTATCTAAGTTCTTATGAAGTTTCAAACAATTTCATCCACTAGTTTTATTGTTGGAATGAGATATAGCAAGACTTACGTTGGCTACACAGAAAGTTAGTAGCTGGTGGTCATTGGGTTAAAGTCTAAACTATGTTTTAAAACTAGGTGCCTACCAGTAAACATGCATATTTGAGAGAAAGTGTTCAATACAAATATGTTGTTATCCTTCTCATCAACCAGTATTAATATTAATCATTCTCTGAAGTGTATCAATAAAAACATCTCGGACAATCTTCAAACACATTACACACACAAAAAAGTTTTAAAATGATGTGTAGTCTTGTTTGATCAATATTAATATAATGTACTTTAATACATTTTTGTCAAGATAAACACTGGAAAATTGAGGATAAAATAAATTGAAAATATTCATTATAAGACAACAAGGATCTTGATTTCCTTTTTTTAATTCATGAATATACTATTGTAGATATGTAATTTCTATTTAAGGACCTAACTTGATGTTGCTGGTAGTGTAATGTCTCACAGTCATAAAGAGCTGTTTGTGAACTGGATTTATAAACCTGAGTTATGATGTATTTAAACTTCACTTTTACTGTAAGCTTTGTAATTTTAATACATTTGATTCACTTTTTGATATAGACATCCTAACAGTACTCCGTATATACACATTGATACTCGTACAAGATGTTGTCATGGATAGTAGGATATAGCTATGTATGATTACCTTAATCTAATTATTGTTTGGCTACTTTTTCATTACTAGATGCTTATTACTAACAGGTTTTTACCATTTGGTTTGGCTGTTGATTTACTACCATTTTCAGGGAACTCCTGTTTTTATGGTGGTAGTGGTCAGGATTTAGTCTTGGGTTTCTTGGCAAAGAGGCTTGTTTTGAGCTCTTCCCATTATGGCTTGAATGAAGTAACTTACTTTTACGCTTTCAAGTTGGTTATCCTCTGGAAAATAGTATGCTATGATACAAATAAAAAAACTGTGTAAATAAAAGTTAGCAAATTTACTTGTTTTAGTTAATTATTTATGAAGGCGATGATTTAATAGAAGACTTTTACACTTGTTTCCTTTAGCATTGTATATTGTAAAATAAAATCAATAGTGTTGAAATAAAGTAGATAGATTTTCTTTTCCCAACAAAACAGATACATTGTGAATAATCAGTTTTAAATATTGGTGTTAAAGTTAACAATTAAGCCTGATAATTTACAAGATTATTTTTCTCATAGTTAAAACTTACACTTTTGAAACAGCTTGTGAAAAACTTTACTTTTTTGATCTTATTCACTTAGTTGTTTTTGACTTTTAAATCTCAGTGTATACTTACTTAAAATTTGTTTGGTTGTTAAGAAAATTGTAGTTTTGTTTTTTGCTTTAACATATGTCTGACTTAGCACCTTTTTTGTTTACTTACAAAAAGTATGGGTGTGGTAATCTTTATTATGAACACTTTTATAACATGTTTGTAATGCAGAACATTAAACATTAGGGATAATATAATTCTAACCATAAACTGATTGTTTATTTTAACATTAGATGTAATGTTTTTAAACATTACACTTAATTGTCAGTTAATTTAATTAACTCCAAAACACACGTACATACACATATGTGTGTGTGTGTGTGTAGTTGATATTTTATATTCTTTTTTGAACTTGCCAGTTTTTGAAAGTGTGAAATACAAAGGCTGAATAAAACAAACCACTGTTTACCTCCAGTTAAGTGCTGATTTTTTAAAGTGTGAAAGCTAAGCATGGTTTTTTGAACTTCATTAACCAGCTCTAAAATCTCTGAGTCTACATGATCCCCATCAGTTTATTTTAGATAAGACTTAGATTGTGGCACGTGGAACATGGCTACTAATCTTTAAATGAAGAATCTACTTTGCTTGTACTAATTGTTAATGTTTAGATATTTGTGTCACAGTTGTTATGTTTAAATGAAAGATACATTTCATTTGTGCTAATGAATCTTGATTAGCTGAATATTTACCTAATAAAGTTTGTACATGCATTTTAATTCTTTATATTGATTTGTGCATTTATTGAAAGTTTGTATGCATTGGACTGGGTTTCTAAGTGAAATTCCTCTATAATTAATTTTTTTAATAAATTATTTCTTAGCAGTATTGTTTGGGTTTTGATAGCAAGGCCCTTGTAGTGTATATAAAGATAATAATTAATTTTAAAATATTACTCCAGTTTAAAGATACTTTTAGTGTGAATGTACTTTGTAGAAAAACATATATACTCAACACAGTGACTACAAAGCACATTCACACCAACTATATTTTTGATACTTTTCACTATGATATAGGTCCAGCTTCTCTCTTTGGTTATCTTATGTTCAGAGTTACTGATAAGGAGTGGAATTCTCCAAAACTAGTATAACCTAATAACTCACGTTGATCAAAGTGTAGATAGAACTGGACTTCCCTTGAATTTAGACTTCAAGATTTAACAATGTTCAGAATACCAAGTTTATTATTACTCCAGTTCCATAGACAATGATTGTTCTTATACTTTTATCCTAAAACGGCAAATATTTACTTTTAAAGGACTTTGTATAACCAAAAATAATTGATGTTGTGTTTTTAACTAGGTATTATCTCTGTTGGACGTCAATAGCTCTTGTGATCCTGAACCTGAAGATGAACGACCAGAAATGTCATTTTAAAACATATTGATGGAGTAGGTTTTTGTTATTTTCAGAGATTTGGTGTGATGTTTCACTTTCAGGTACTTTCTTTCCAGAAAGCAATGCTAGAACAGATTGATCACCGCATTTCAATTTTCCAGTCTTAATCCTATTGGCTGAAATGTACAAAACTTGTAAAGTAATATGGTGCAGTTTTTAAACACGTATAAGCTGTGTAAATAAATCTACATAGTCATAATATAACTTTTCAAAAAAAAGAAAATTTGATGCGCCAATTGCTTTTTCACCCATAGAAGTTTGTAGAATTTTTTGGTCCAGTCCATTTATGAAAATGTGTGCAATTTTTGTCTCAGTACCATTATTTAAGGAAATTTAAACCTTTTGATGTGTAAGGCATCATAGTGTCTATTAGTTTCTATGTGCTACAAGTGTGAATAATATTGGCTGAAAAAACTTCATTTATATTTTTTTGTGTGATATTGTACTGTGAATATGTATTTATTTTAGGAAAATTATTTTATACATGCTCTGATTTGCATGAAAGTCACTAGCTATCTGTAGCCTAAACATTTGATAATCCTATACTCTCAGGGTGTGAAAGTAAGTCATTTAAATTAATTTGAAAGAAAGATAGTATTTTTATTTTTTTTTAAATAATAAATGAAATTACTTTTTATTTGAATCACTATATATCAGATGTAATTACTTACGTGTTTCAAATCAGTGTTCCCAAATGTTTTTGTCTGAGGACCACCTGAATTTTTGTTTGTGGTGGGGAGGGCTTGGTAGATCACATAATAAAAGTATAATTTAATGAAGCAATAAGAGTATAGAAATCACTATAATCATAGTATTAACCACTGACTTACCTTTCTACATTTTAATATGATGGGTGCACTTGTTTTTGTGAACAAAATTCTTTAATGTTAGGTGTAATGTTTGTCAGCTTTTGCCTCATGTTAGGTTCAGCATTCATTCTGCTTTTGTATTTAAACTTCAAGGCCATAAGTGGTGAAAATTTCATCTTGCACTGGTATGTAGAAACAAATGGCTTCAGAAAACAAACTTCTTTATCTGCAAGTTCCAGGTATTTTTCAGTTCTCAGAATCCAAAAATAATATTGGATTTCTTTTAATATCTGAACGTAATGTTCCATTGCGAAAAAGCTTCAACAAGCACTTTTCTTCTTTTGGAGAGAAACCAGTTGGCAGGTCATTATTTTACAATGCACAAAATTCTCAAGTAAAGAATACCTTTTGCCATTTGAACTCAAAAGCTATACAGACTTTTTCATGTAATTTATACATATTCCTCTGGCTTATATAGCTGAACTTTCAAGGTCTCAGGTTTGCTCCAGGGTCCAGAGACTTTTCCTTTCCACTGATCACCTGAAGGGGGTTCATGGACCACAGTTTTAGAACCTTTATTTTAGCTGATGTTGATTTGTTGAGATGAGTGATCATAGTTTTACAGTTAGAAGACCCAATACAAATTTTATGCAACTGAACTAAGAAGCACATAGAACATAGCAGGAGACTATGATGTCTTGACTTCTAATAGTGAGAAACTTTTACAGTTAGAAAGCCCACTACAAATTTTATGTAACTCAAACAAAAAACCTATAGAACATAGCTAGAAACTATGATGTCTTGCTTTCTAATAGTGGAAAAGTTGCTACTAATGGAAACTAAGATTCGACTTTCTTATTTTAATATATCTTCAATCCTGAAAGTCCCTTTTTTTCCATACATGTAATGTTATTTCATAGTTAAAAATCCATTGTATCAAAGAATTTTCTTATAAAAAACCTGTGTAAAAAAATAGCAGTTGAAAAAAGCTACGTTTAATAATCAAAAAGTTGAACATTATGATTATTGAATTTCATGCTAATATTTTCTTGTTTGTATTATATTAAGGTACCTGAATTAAACTTTGGAAAAAGCCATGTCATAAAGAACTACATTGAAAGTAATGAAATGTATGTTGTATTTAAAATATGCCTATAGTCTGTTACAAAGATATAATGATGTGGTAACGTTATGATTGTGTGATACTGAGTAATGTTATTTATATGTTAGTGGTAAATAATGGTTATTCTAATGTATTTGATGAAAAATATGGCTACCAAAGGTGTTTAAGTTTTCATTTTTTGTATAGATTAAAATTAGTTCAATTTTATATCAGGTAAATAAGATTTTTTTTTTGCCAAGTCTTTTACTTTCTTAAAAAACAAAGATCTTTTACAGATCATTCTTTTGCAAAAGTTAAAAGCTTTAAAATATTTCTATTTCTGGTGATAAATGAAAAAGCCCTAAAATATGGAGTCTGTTTAAGATTTCTTGAAAATTATATACAAGAGTTTTGAAAGCTTACACTCTTGTTTAATAATATATTTGTATTTTGATAAGTACGTAAAGACTAGGTCCTTATTTTTTTCTGTAGATAATACTGCATTTAACAAGTACTGTGCATTCTGTTTCTGTCAGCAAATAATGTAATATGTTGTATTTAAAACATTTTCAGAACAGCAAGGTGGGAATTCCTAGACAGGTGTAAAATTTAGCTTTAACCTTTACATTAGATACCTTGTTTTTTAAGATTTGATTTTTCATTACCTATAACAAATACATGTATTTTATGTAAGGTACTAATTGCAGAATACAAATAATTATTTTGTATGGTTTCTGTTTGCTTCGTTTTTTTTATTCTGACATATATACAAATCTCATATGACTGCAAAACATTGAATTTGTGTAGCCAGCTATGTAAATGCAAGATATTTATTGAAAATATTTTAAAAGACCCTAAAAAGTTCTCTGTTTGGGATAAAAAGTAACTATAGGAGGTTTTTTTGGTGTGTGTGTGTGTTTCAATAAATTTTAATAGTTTTACATTAATTGTGTGCAGAAATGTATAGATTATTACTTAGCCTGTGTAACTAATACTAAAGTATACAATACGTATAAAATATATATTTGTGTGTAGCAGTTTTTGATGAGAGAACTTTTTTTAAATGTAGCCCACGTGTATATGGGCTGAATAATTTTCAAAGATTAGCTATGAAAAATGGATAGGGTTTGTTTTTTGGGTCAAGAGAATCTTCATTTACACAATTGTTGCTTTATACCTTCCAGCCTTAATTTTATTTTCAAAATCCATATATCAACAAAAAATGTCAAGATTATTTTCTTGTAGATGATTTCCATTATTGTGAGCCAGTTTTTTTTTATTATAACACATTCTTCAAAGCTGTCATATGCTGATATAAATGATTGAATCCTACAGTAATTAGATGAATAGTTGTAGGTAGAGTTTGTTTTAGTGAACTTTTATTCTGTAATTTTTATTTAGGAATTACATTACTGTTTTTTATTCTACATGTAATTACATATATAATTACTTAGTAGAAATTCTGTAAATGTTTTATTAAACATATAAGAAACTAAACAACATTAAATCAGGATTTTATAGTCATAATCATACATGTGTAAACCCAGTGATGTTTAAAGATTCCATTGCACTTCCAGCAGTTACTTACAAAATATCTTGAAAGTAATTATTCTGTGAACCAGTCCAAGATTCATAGCATAGTTTTTTAAGGGTTCTACAGTCCTGTTGCTGTATAAAAACAGAGTAATGTGTAGTTTACACAGAGCTGTACTGTAACTTTTCCATAACTGTTTAAGGTCAAAGCTTCCTAGCAGATTCACTATAGTTATTCAATATGAAACTACTGTTAAGTGAATCAGTAAAAAGTGAAAGACGTAATTATAGTGTGCAAATTCAGTAGGTCTTTAAATAATCTATCTTTACTGTAAGTTTAACAGCAGGGGTTACATTGAAAAATGCTTTCATAGTCAAACTTCCTTAAGTACCTTTTTCTTCTGCAAAATATACAGTTTTGTACATGTGTACTAATGGCATAGAACATCATTAATATACAGATATATGCTTAGATTTTCTACTAAGTTTTATGAAACCCTCCATATGTGTTTTTTTTTTCAAAGTCTTCTTTTTTATTTAATGAAAATATTTATATATACACTGATAATATGTTTTATATCTTAGGCTTAAAAATGTTGGTCATTTCTGTGTCTTATCAACGAAGCTTAATCGTGATGATGTATACATTTAATTCAGTTTCAGCTTTTCTACAGTAAAGGTCTTTGGTAGTTTAACAAGTCTAAAACTTTTGGTGAGCGTCTGAAAGATACTGTCATCTGGTTTATTTCAAATTGTTTCTTAAGATAAAACATGTATATTCTGAGGTATTAAAAATTTGAAAATGTCTATCCAGACTGATTAAAGATTTTTGAAGATACAAGATAAAACTTATAATACAAAGCTTTAAAATATGTCTATAGTGTGATCTTAATCACCTTATTTTTTTCTGATAACCTTGATATTGCTAAGAAACTTAGTAAAGCTGGAGGCTTGGTGCTTCTGTACATATAATTCCAGTTCCTACTCAAGACATAGTATGTGAAAGTTAACTTGTTACTAACTCTACATTCCAAAATGCTTTTCACTCACAAAAACATCTAAAGTTATTGTAGCCTTTTATTAAGTTGTTTTTCAACAGGACCAAATAATGTTACTTCACAAATATTTCAAATATAAATTTCTTGTTTATGATAAGAAAAATGTAGTCTCCATAGTATTTTGTAACAGAAATATAGTTGTATTATATATACTGTTAGGTGGTACATTTTTGTTCAAGTATCTTTTATTATGTATGTTTGTAGCTGACAAAAAATGTGTTAGTTTTAAAAATATTTCCTTAAAAAAATATGGGTTTTAGATAAACTTGTCAAATTTGTATCAAATTACAGGTAACCTAATTTGATTGAGAGTTGTATATCTGTTTTGTTATATTAATAAATTAACTGCTTTATTGTGTATTTTGCTTTATTTTACACATAAAAAAAATTGTGTGTTTCTTGTTTCCTGCCCACAGGAAAGGTCCTTTCAGCTCTTTCTGTATGGGGTGGTACTAAAATTGTGAAAGGCTATAATTAATTGTAATATAAATAACTGTCAATAAATGGTACTGTGACAAGTGTTGGGTATTTCAGAGTAGGGATTTAACTGAATTGTCCAAATGAATACTGGCCTACGTACTCAAATTAATAATTTCCATATGCTGTTATGGAGATTATGTTTTACTGAAGAGAGTTACATACATGTTTTAATGAAGGAAACTAGCATATACACCCTGTCCAGTAACTCAGACAAACTGTCTACCATATGTTTTTTCAGACTAATTTTTATGCAGGAAGATTGAACATAATATCTAGCAGCTCAGATCACTAATTACTATAAATAATTACTATCATAATAAATCTAATACTCATCTTCTCAGTAAAAACCTATAGAAAGTGATGATTTGAGCTGGTAGATAGTGCTTATGTACCACCTTCCCTCAACAAATAACACACATTTTCCAAGTAATAACTAATAGAAGATGGTGATCTGAGCTTCTATATATATATATATATTGTTCATGTACCATTTCCCACTCAGACTCTGTAGGGGGAGATCATTGTGCTTTCTTCAATAATAAAAACTTAACATCCCTCTTTCCCAGTAAAAGCCTCTAGGAAACAGTAACATTAGCCGCTAGATGATGTATGTACAATCTTCTTACATAAAAAATGTATCTAATCTTCACGAATAAAAACATTAAGAAATGTAATCTGAATGGCAAAAAAAGTTTTGGTCTTACTATAGGTAACTTCCTCATAACAGCATGTAGAAAATATTGAATTCCAAACCAATGTTTCTATTGTTTACAAATATACTTTGCAAAGCTCCTTCAAAGTACAATGTCCTTTTTTTTTTACTTTCATCTTGTGAAAGTTATTTGTATTGTATCCAACCATCCTTTTAGTATGAGATTATCTGGCATTAGTATACACTTCATTGAAGAAGTAGCTTAACTGTGTTATATTTAACTATTATTTTCCATACTTTTTCGTAGGCAGAGTCAAACAGTTTGGAAATCTACTTCTAAACATCTGAAATCCTAAACATGTGTACTAAAGAAGTTAACATAATATTCATTCAAAGATTTTTTAACACCTAATATAAGAAAAACTGCATCAATGTTAAATATTTCTGTACTGTTTGTACATGTTTCAACCTTAATATAACTGTTGATTTTCGTAAATAATTATTTCAAATTAATATTAGAAAGTGTTCTGTTAGTATTTATTTTGTATTTTTCACGAACCCACCGATACTGTTTTTTTTTCAAGTACCCAACGTAACTTGTTGAAACCCTTGCCATCTGAAGGCAGTTAAGGTTCCTTTCTTTCCCTGGTTTTAAACGATATCCCAGTACTTTGTCGGATCCGTGTTTTAACGGTCTAGGTAACGTTGAACTCGCTTCCATGTTCGACACGCATTCTAGAAATATCTGATTGTTGATTTGTCGAAGTTGTTTTATTTCGCGTTGCATGTTGTCCAACCCAAATTCAGACAATTTCTTTTCAAATTTATTGCGAAAGTACTTATATAACAAATCATCGCCGAAATTCCAAGTTTTAATTCCAACTCTCTCCTTCCACGAGAGGTCATTTTCTCTCCACGTATCACTTCGGACATTTTTCCTGAAAGTGGCGACATCTTTTAGTTCCCAGCACATAAGATTTTTCAGTAGTACTAAAGACTCTTCCATTAGTTCTGTGATCATTACGAAATCAAAAATTTTATCAAGCTTCTTTATTTCCCTCTGAAAGAAACCAGTGTCTTGAATGTAGGTTCCATTAATTCCAAAATCATAAAGCTGAGGGTTCCGCTCACGAAAACCAATTTTTTTGCGAAGCAGTTGAGTTTTGTTCATAAGGCTGAAATCACGTAAGGTCACATGGTACTTTTTGTATAAACTAAAGTAATTGTACGTGGACTCAAAATGACTAATAGGTTCACGAACAATTGCAATGTAGACACTGTCAGGAGGCATGACTGCATGCAGTTCATGGGCATCAAATCGAACGTGAACACAGAAGATATTAAAATCGCCAAGAATGGTCCACGGGAGCTTTTTGACGCGTTCTCTGGAAAAAGGTTTGTTAACTGGATTCCAAAAGCTAGTGCCATGCTTTGGTATTAAAAATGTTAAGTTATTATTATCTCCGTAACGTAACAAAATGTTCTGAACCGTGTCAGATCCACATTTATGGTTTTTTAGAAAAAAAACATTTTTCTTTGGGACACATTTCTTAGGAATTTCCAATCGCTCGTGAGAAACGCTCCAGCGATTGCCAATAAACATGTTCAAGGGATGCAATTCTTTCCACGCAATCCTAGAAATTTAAGAAAATATGATAAATAACTTCGGCATTTTGCCATAACAACAATTTCTTTAAAATAGCTGTCATATTTTACACAACTTTTACTGCACTATTTTGTTTAGAAATTATGCGGATGAAATAAATTCGTGTAGATTACGCATTTAAAACTACATATAGCATTCCTCTCCGACGTTTAATCTACTGCAGGCACTACATTACCCCCACAACAAAACCGTTACGATCTATTATGACTATCTTAAGTTCTAAAAATGTTAGAAAATTGATATTATTGAATAGCAACACACACTAGCTTTTTAATGGGAGATGAAATACGACGATCAATACTAATCTAAGCAGCATTTTCTATCAAACATAACACCATTTCTAAAGTCTCGCACACTAATCCTTTTTAAAAGCAAAGATTCTACAATCATAAATTCGATGTAATTATCATTACTAATCGCCATGAAGTTCAAGATAAAACAAGTGATGAACTTGTACATACTTACAAGCTTATATTCCAAAAGAGTAGGGTTGAGGACAAGATGACTATTATAATATATTGCGGTCGAAAAGATACCATTTTGTGAATCTTCGAACTTGTAAACAACTTTCCTCTCAGGCTAATTATGACGTGTATAAGATGAAGGCTAAATTTAAGTATGAGCAGTTTTATATAAACACGTAACAACATGTGTGAAATAGTTAGACTTTTGGTGAACGAACTCTGAATACTCCAGTTGCTATATTCCGTTTTGTAATAACACCTGCTTAACGCTATTTATATCGGGCTGTACATGCAACACAAATTAATATGTATTACTCTTCCTATATGCACGTTATCGTAGTGATACATTGCATCACAGGCATTTTATACATTCGAAGGTTTGATTATTTTATCTGCATTTTACAACGTTTGTTATTGTTTTGAAACTATTTTTAATTGTACGACGTCATACTAAAAGGTCGGTTACATTCGTGTGAAGCAGGAGGTTTATTGCAAATTAAGATGAAGTATCCAATCTAAATAAGTTTCACTGTGGCGATACCAGGGTTCTCAGACTACGATCCTGAATATACTCAAATAAAAAATTCCATTCAGTATAATTAAAATATAAAAAAAAATTCCTGCTGAATAACTAGTAACAAAAGTTTGGAAAACTCGTTTCAAATCAAGGAGAAAATTTTTTACATAATAAAAAATAAGGAAAACAAGTGATGGTAGATTTTTGATTAGGTTCGGTTTTATCAAGCAATTTGGAAAATAAAACATTTGAAACAACGCCTTTTTTATCCGATAAATAATTTGAATAACTGCTGATATTAAATACATTAGTGTTGTCTTGTAATAAACTCAGAACTTTACTAATTATTGTTAATGACACACAAAACTATTTATGAACTCACTAACGGGTTTTTTTTTCAACAAGTCATCATTTAATTCATAGTGTGATTCCTAAAAGATATAGATATCTTCCTCAAATTGTCTACATATTTTACTTAAAAAAGAAGAGAACTGTAAATTATAAGATATAAAATACTTTATTATGTTCAAACATCTATGCATGAACATTTGTAATGGCATGCTATATCCTAAATCAACATCAATAGGTTTTCTTTTGACAAATATCGACATATAAATGTTAATTACTATCAATCTGTGTTGTGTACAAATATATAGTATAATAAAAACTTTCAATTTCCTGTATATTTAAATCTGTCTAAAATTGAGGGAGCCTTTTAAAGGCTTCATGAAATATATAAACTGATAAGATGATAAACTATCTGTGATGTTTATAATGTACAGTTGAGTTCTTTAATAATCACTAGAATACAAGTGCGGTGAAACAATACAATGACACACATGCAACTTTTAAGACTTAATTAATTGAATATGGGATTTTTCTATGAAGAAAAGAAGAGTGCATCAACAACATATTACACTTCTGTCTGTTGTAGGCCACTGACGGCAAAAGGTTTAGTTTAATATCAAGCATATTACATAGATTAACAATAGACTACATCTAGTTACAGCATTTTTTTTTACAAAAACAGTGCTTGAAAACTATACAGATTACTAAATAACAAGTTGCTTCTTCTACAGAGTTAATTTTCGTTTCCAACATTTTGATTAATTTCAAAACAAATGAAGTATGTTTTCATTTTTGTACACTAAAACATGTTATTTCCTGAGATGACTTATACGGGAATTTAAAAAAAAATTTGTCTGGTGCTTATTCTACTCTGAAAAGTACTAATTCAATTTATATGCCTTTCAACACAAGAGCAAATTATAATCATCTTCAATGACTTTTTGTTCTATCACACAGAATTCAAAAAGAAGGAAAGAATTAGAAGAAATTATCTTGTATTACACTGTCACAGTTCAAGCTTTCTAGGAACTTACAGTATAATATCTTACCTGTTACATGCATTACTGTCAAAATGCTACTTGTTTATGACATTTTTTATTTTTATGTTAAGACCATCCAAAAATGGTTCAGAAATTCATAATCCAAACCAGTTTGGTACATCTTGGCGATCCCATTGTTTTTCTTGTTGCTCTTTAAAATCTTTCTTTCTCCTTTCAAACTCTTCAAGATCTTTATCTTGTTCTTTCTTTTTTTCTTCTGGGAAGAGATTTGGAAATTCAAACTTGTAGTCCTTAGGCTGGAATAAAATGTTAAAACATTAGCACAAAGAAATTCCTAATGCATTTTTTCTGCTTTAAATACTATCAATTTATTGTTGACTGTTATAAAAGCAACTGATTATGCTTACAGAAGCGTAGAATTATAGCTTGGATGAATCTTGATGTAATTCTATAACAGATAACATTTCTACATTTAATTATCACATTACAAAGCATGTCAAAGAAGTAAATAGTAAAAATTTCTGAATAAATAAGCAAGAAACACATTCAAGAAACCATAACTTTTTATTATTCAATATATTATTATATTCCTGTGGCTTATCTACTGAGAAACGTTTTGGTGGATTTTTTTTTCATACATATCAGCTTTCATTCATGATAACAATGGCACAGTCTCAGTATTACAATAACATGATAAATAGCACCAGATGAAGTTCAATAATTACTATTGGCTATTTTTGGGTACTACTTTGTGTAAAAATATTATTTTGAAAAGTTAAGTTTTAGAGCTCATTTACTAATACTGGTTGAAAACAAATTTAAAAAGATAAACTACTTAAAAACATTATCAATAACTATCATGTAGAAGCAATGATTTTGTATATTTATTCTAGAACAAATAGTTGAAGGTGTAAAGTGACTGATCTTACATACAATTATTTCTATCTGTAACTTCTGCATGCTTAATTCATGCAATTTTCAGAGATGAACTAAAAGGAGAAAATATTTTTTGTAGAATTCTTTACATACTTAAACTTTCATCTGATTGCTACTAAGAATAATGTCCTCCCCAACTTCTGCTTGAGATTATTGATCTCTCTTATACTGATATGCATTACAGAATATTAAATATTAAGAAATACCCTTAATTAATAGTCTATATCATAAGAATTATTCTATGAAAAACACTTTTTTAGCATGAGTCTTAAACTCAGTTCTGCATATTTAAGAAATAAATAAAATTAAATTCGAGAAATAACCAAGAATTGGATAACTTTTTTCTATAACTACAAGAAGCAGCAAATAAAATATTAAATGGTTGACAGACCATGGAATTTCTTTTTTACCTGGTTTACAACAGACTATCAATTGAGAGCTAAGTACTTTTGTTAGTTTGTTGTCATGCACAAAGCAAAAGTAGTGGGCTATCTGTGCTATGCCCACCTCGGATATGAAAAACCTAATTTTTAGTATTACAAGCTTCAGAATTACTGCTGAGCCTTTGAGGGACCTTTCAAATATAACTTATTGTTGCGTATCTACTTGTTTGGTAATTTCCCGTAGAAATTCTTTCCGAGAAACTTCCGCGATACAAGTCCTTTCTTAAACAAAACTAGTTTATTCTTTCTCAATACAACTTTGCAATACACAGAATTTCCACAGTCACTTTAACTTAAACACATGCTATAATTCACAATGATTCACGAACTTTACTTATGATCACTACCGCACACTTGACTCAATTATCTGTCTATCTGCAATTATATCTCCACTTTATTTGCCGGGCTTATATACTAAAATAGAGGGCGCCTAGAAAAGACTAGAGTTGCCAGGAAAAGTCAAGATCCTTTAAGAATCTCATGACGTGTTACCAGCGCCACGTGACTTCTGCTCTCGTAACACTGCTCCTTCCTTAGTATTGTTCATTCTGAACAATAGCCACTTACATTAAACCAATAGATAATTAACGATAACTTAATTAAATGTACAGAATTTAAAAATACAAAATTAAAATTCAACAAAGACTTTTAATTTTGCAGGACGTATCTTCTTCCGTACTGGTCTCTGTCTCGTTGGCTTCTGCTTCACGTGGGGTTCATCTGCTCCCTCAGGAAATGTCCTATTATCAGTAACAGTCACATCAGTGGTAGTAACTTCATCAAGGGCTTCACTATTTCCCTTCTCAAAACTGGGTAGAGTTTCTTCTTCGACAGTGGTTTTTTCAGTTGACACGTCTTCAGCAGCGTCATTTGTTCTGTTGTTCGCTTCATTCCAACTGAAATGTCCTGGACCATTATAATGCCAAAGCCTGTTGGCATGCATCACCTTTGGCTTACCTCGCCGACCACATTTTATTTGGAAAGTCACATCTGAGAGACGATCCACAATGTCATATGGGCCTTCCCATGGAGAAGACAACTTAGGAGACTTCCCTTTGGTCTTCCTGGGATTATACAACCACACCTTGTCTCCTGGTACAAAGCTGACTTCAGTAGATTTCTTATCATAACACAGCTTCATGGAATCAGCAGACGTTTTCAAGTTTGAACACACTTGATGATGAATATCATCCATCCTTTCAGATAACACTTTCACGAACACTGACACATTCTCAGGCAACTCTTCATTAGGATGGACGTCTTGTTATCAGGTCCACTGGCAACTGAAGTTCTTGACCAAACATCAGCTTTGCTGGAGTGTATCCAGTGGCTTCATGCTCTGCTGTTCTATAGGCCATCAACAGTGGAGGGAGTAAGACATCCCAGTCATCTTGTTGGCTATTACAAAACTTTGCCAATTCCTGTCCCAGTGTCTAATTGTACTTTTCTACCATCCCATCAGACTGTGGGTGAACTGGCGTTGTTCTGGTCTTCCGTATGCCAAACAACTTGCAGCATTCTTGGAACACAGCTGATTCGAAGTTACGGCCTTGATCTGAATGCAGTTCATATAGCATACCAAATCTGAGGAAGAAATCACTAATAGCCAAAGCTACAGTTGCAGAGGACCAGCAATGTCAACGGCTACTCTTTCCATTGGTGCGCCAACTTG